CCCAAGGAACTCCAAGAGACAATGCAAATTCAGTTCAGCTATGATTATTAGCTACAGCCTCTAGCAAGAATCTTCCCAGACTGAAACCCCAGGTCCCAAGTCAGCCAGCCACAACAGTGTGAATTCCTTAGGGAGGTGCCAGTCTCATCCTCTTGTAGTTCCCACGCTCCTGCAGTGATCTAAGAAAATGCTTATCTCCCTGAGCCTGGCCTTCATAATTCCATTCCATCACAGAACTATTGTTAAATGAATGGTTGCTAAGTGAGGACTCCCTGTACTGTAGATGAATTCATGACATCTCTTAATTATGAGCAGATGCTAGATCCAATGGAACCTCCAGGGTCAGAATCAACATGCCAGGAATGGTTGCTAAGTGAGGACTCCCTGTACTGTAGACGAATTCATGACATCTCTTAATTATGAGCAGATGCTAGATCCAATGGAACCTCCAGGGTCAGAATCAACATGCCAGTGAATACCACTGAAAGAAAATAGAGTTAAGCCCTGTTTTCAGTTGTGCTTCTTGAGTTGCTGAAAGCATTTGACTGGCCATGGTGGGAAACAGGATGCTTCTTATTTTAACACACTGTTGCACAATAGTTCCTGTTAATTTTTCCAGGGAGACTTCTAGCTGATTTCTATGAAAATTCATTTATAACACCTTTTAATAGTTACCTTTGTGAAGCGGAGGGGGGGCTGTCAGCTAACATAAAAGCATTAATCTAAATTAGAATGTTGCAGCACTGATTTTACCTGTTGGATTTGGAAGAGTCAACGAGTTGCTCCGAGACAATGCAGGTGAAACACTGGGGCTTAGTGATGGGGATAAAGCTGCATTAAATTAAGACAAACACAGTGATGAGCAGTTAATACTTGTGAGATATTTAGTAAATTTTTTTCATAAAGGTGAAATTAAAATCAAAGCATATATTAGTATGACACTATAACATCAGTGTTATAGAGAACAAAACAGAGAAGGAGTAAAAAAGCTTAGTTCAACACAGTACTTCCTAAACATCCTTCTGCATGGAATAGAGCTGTTAGTAATGCTCCCCCCCCGAAAAAACATTTTTTAAAAAACAGTGAATTTATCCCAGAGCCAATATGGTGTAGCAGTTAGGATGCTGGACTAGGAGCAGGGAGACCCAGGTTCTATCCTCAGCCATGGAAGCTCAATGGATGACTTTGAGCTATTCATTGTCTCTTAGCTCAATCTACTTCACGGGGTTGTATATAAAATAGGAAGGGGAAGACAAACATTGACCTGAGCTCTTAACAAAAGATGGCATATAAGTCTAACAAATAAATAAGTTTGAGTGTAGAGAACATACAGGCTTCCCACAGCTCTAATATCACCATACTAACCCACTGAATTGAGGTACAATATTATGGCTCAATCATGGAATACCATACGTAACAGAAACTCCAAAAATAGATTGTAATGTATTATTAGCAGTAGATGATCTACTTTAAGCCTTTTCAAGGCATAGCTTCAAAAAACTGTATATTAATATGAATTTAATGAGATCCCTACATGAAGTATTTTGGTGCATCAAATCTTTTACTAAACACAGCTCCATTTTTGCCTTGTCTATAAGTTCAGAAAAAAGGCATGGAGGAACTTGGGGCCATCCCATTTTTAAGAATGTAATAGGTAGGCTTTGTGTTAAAATGATCCCTTAGATTAAAAGATGGAGGACCCAGAGTTGGTATAGAAAGAAAAATACAGGAGATTTGGTTGACTAAGAATACAGCATTTCCCACCAAGCCATCCTGTCTTGCTGATCTTTCCAGCATCTCCTCTGCTTCCCCTCAGCTGCAGCCAATGTCCAGTACAGTAAATCCTACCACGCTTATATTCCCTCCAATACTTCCCCACAACTACCATTGCCAATATCCTTGGTGTTTTTCTGCTCTTCACTGCCAACACACTTCTGCCTTGTACGATCATCTTTAGGTACATATCTAGAACCCAGCAATCCCAGAACAAAAATGTTTTGGGTTTTATTTCTGTCAAACTGTGGCCAATCTGGGATGATTGGGTAGAAACTCTATGGTAAACTACCTGGAATTGGGGAAGCTAGGCAATTCATGTAAATAAGTAATAAACTGCTGGAATGCAGTGTATTTGTTTCAGGGTTGAAACAAAACACATTTCCTGTTTTGTGGATACCTCTACAATGACTCTTGCATTAAAAGATCATAAACGTTTATATGTCAGCTAACAATGAGTTCCATTTGCACAGAGACTCAAAGAATGCATTTTCGAATACATACCTGTGGGTGATTCCGAAAGGCTGCTTCTTGATTTTCTTCCTCTACGTGTGAGGAACCTCTCACTCACCTTCTTTGCTTCTTCTAATAGTTCGATGTTCTTCTTTTTATCTTCATCAGATATTTGTATATCCGGCAGTTGGTCATTTAGGAGGTCAATTACATGACCTTCATTATCTAAGTAGGAAAGTACTGAATTAACATGATGTATGTATAATGTAACTGCACATTTGAAGTGTTTCTTCTTGACTGCTATAATGATTGTATTATACATAAAGTATTAGTAAATGTCTACTACAACTAACCAGCTGAACAAGTGCAATTTATTCTCTACCCCATAAGTATTTTTGCTATCTGTAAATATATCTATTATAATTGAGTCTGTAGATAACCTCATATTAATGTTTGTTTTTTATGAAGCTACATTGGCTACAATAGCACATAAGGTTGTGAGAAGTTAAGATGGTATTTGGCATCTACTAGGTTAGATAGTGGTATATTTCCTTGTTCTTTGACATTTACAGCCCCTGAATCTTCTGTTATAGACAACATTCAGGATTACATCAATGCATTTTGTGTTTGTGAGGATGTCCTATGAAGCCCAAAAGACATTGGAGTGATTTACTTTCTTCTATTTTCATCCCTGTCTTATATGTTCTCTGACTATACTATATAAAAAATAAGATCAAAAACCTGTGTACTGCATATAAGGAGTCATAAAATATTTTCAGAAAAGATCCAATCCCACAGAAGCAAATGAAGTAATACTTGAAATTCTGCCAATTTATGTGTATATGTAATTTTAAGGAAAAAAATAAGGCAAGAACATGTGTTTCTTACCTACAGAAGTCAAAGAGCTTGCTGATTTTCTAGCATTTCTGTTAGAATGCCGCAGATGAGGGCTAACAGACCTAGGGGGAAAGGCCCAGCAATAAGGAAAAACTTTTTAATATAAACTTGTTAAAATTAATATATGCATCCAGGTATGTACATCCATGTGAATGTGCATGTGTGGGCATGAAAGTGTTTCTGCAAATCTATTCATCTTTATTTTGTACTGTGAAAGATAACAATGGGTAGCACAAAATTTGAAAATTGTGGCACGATAGGTATCAGCTACTATTTAGTTTGAAAACTGGCTGACAGTCCTATTTTTTGTTTTTATCTACCTACGCAAGCAAAAATAGATAAAGCAAGCAAGCAGTAAAAGGATGAAAAAGAGAACATGGAAAAGCAGTAGGGAAGGGGAAGAGGTAGGGAGGAGGATAGGAGGTGGGATGGTGGGCAAGGGACCAGATAATGAGCAGGTTAGAAGAGGAGGAAGATAACTGTTCCACTGTGGAAAGTACAATTGTCCAAAGGTTCAGATGTTGATCTTTATTCAGAATATGAGGCTGTACTTCCTTTAAATAAATATTGAAGGATTTAGCCCACATTTTGGAGGGCACCCATTTATTTTCATTTTAAATCCAAGGTTTCTAAAATTGTGTTATTCTTGAAAAAAACAAAGTGTGTACCTTAATTCATATACACAGCCTTTATCTGTATGAAGTATAGTTGCTTTATATTTAGCATAACAGTTCTATATATACTTGAGCCATGTAGGTTTCATTAAAAAAAAAATTAAATTGTACTCATATCCATATCAAACTGGCTCCTCTAATAACATTTTCTAGAGTTAAGGGACTTAGACAATGGTACAGAACTTAGATTATACTAATTTATTTATTTCAGACTATTGTAAAATTTAAAAGATGACATCATACACACAATTTTTCATCCAGTGTGTCTCAAGCTTAAAGCATCTTATAATAAATGAAAGCAAACTATGTAGCATTAAAAGATCAATACAGGTAGCCCTCGCTTACCGACTGCTCATTCAGTGACTGTTCAAAGTTACAACAGTGCTGAAAAATGAGACTTATGACTGGTCCTTGAAGTTGCGGCCCTCACAGCATCCCCGTGGTCATGTGATCATCATTTGTGACCTTCACAGCCAACTTCCAAGAAGCAAAGTCAATGGGGAAGCCGGCAGGAAGTTGCATGTAATGATCACATGACCATGGATTTGGTTAATGACCGCAGCCAGAACTGATGCCATAAGTCAGTGCAGTCATGTTTCACTTAATGACCACACCGCTTATAATGAAGTTGCCAGTCCCAATTGCACTCAGTAAGTGAGGACCACCTATATACTGCAGCTATGACATTCACTCCTCCAACTTTATAACTTTATAGCTGAGGGACCCCTTGTCTCCAACTATCCAGTGAAGTCAGGAAGAGTGGGCATGCTCAGAGTCCTGTCAATTAAACAGTGTCACCTTGTAGGACCCAGGAATCATGTCTTTTTTGTTGCAGTGCCTGCCCTCTGGAATGACATCCCCCAGAGATTTGTATAGCTCCCACCCTAATGGCATTCAGAAAATCATTCAAAACAAGGTTGCTCTCCCAGGCCTTGGGATAGGGTGGTTGCAAAATCTCATGGTTTGAGGGTTTTATTGATAGGGTGTAGTCTTCTGGTCAGTTGTGATCTTTTCTAACTATGTTGTTTTCCTCTTTTAATTGTAAGCCACCCAGAGTCATTAAGGACTTGGACAGCCTCAAAATTGAATTAAATCAATTAATCAATCAGGCAATCAATCAATCTTTTGGCTCCAATTAGACATTACAATGGATATGTGAATCAGTCTTAACTTAACTTAATTTTCTTAAATGGAAAGTTGAAACGTAATAAAGAGGTATGTGTATTTCTGTGAATACCTCCATAACCTCCACAACCAGGAAAGCAAGCAGGCAATGCAAATATAGCTGTCTTCCTGGTTAGAAAAATATGGATGCTTCCATAGGTAGGAAAACAGCTAAATGATTAAAATATGGTTCTCCTTAAACTTAATCATCTTTTGAGAGTGCTCTTGGTCCTCCAGCATAAATCCCTTGATCATTTTTCTTTCCTGCCCATTATGTGTGGAAGCTACCTCTCCAGAGATCAGTCAAGAACTAACATTCTCTTTTAAGAACTCAGTTCCAAAACTTTTGGAATACAAGTAGCCCTTCGTTAATGACCATTCACTGACTGTTTGAAGTTACAACAGCATTGAATGAGGAGAGTTATGGCCGGTCCTCAAAGTTGTGGCCATCGCAGCACCCCCATGGTCACATGATTGCGATTTGGATGCTTGGCAACTGGCTTGCAATTACGATGGTTGCAGCATCCCATGGTGACATGATCACCATTTGCAACTTTCCCTGCTGGCTTTTCACAAGCAAAGCCAATGGGGAAGCTGGCAAGAGGTCGCAAATGATGATCACATGACATCATGCCTAATGACTGCGTGGGATTTGCCTAATGACTGCAGTTGGAACTGCTGCAACTGCTGTCATAAATTGGTGTGGTCGCTTGATGTTGCACTTTACAACTGCATCGCTTAGCGGCAGAGTTCCCAGTCCCAAGTACCATCATTAACTGAGGACTACCTGTAACCTTTTCTTACTGTGCATTTACCCCTCTTTTTTTTCTTTCCACATAAGTATAGATTACAAAATGTTTGTCAAACAAACCTGTTTTTTTTCTCATATGACTCTGTACAATTAATGATTGTGGAAGTAAAATGGCATGCAGCATTAATTACCTGAGAGCTACATTTGTCTCTCTGTCTGTAACTGGTCTAACGGCACACTCTGGAAGAATTATTGAAGGTGTGTTGCATGTAGCTGCATCAGCAGAGGAGTCCTGAACAGGGGAAGTATATCAGATGATAATTGCAACAGAATAAAATATCAGTTTATTCTTACACGAAAACCTAAATTTTCCTCCCCCCAAGTTCTGCACAAGTACCCTATTTAACAAAAGGAAAACATCCCTGAAGCTAAAATACTTCCCTCCAGAAAGAGAGATGAGGTAAAATAAAAACTCATCTGCCTCCATTACCACATTCCAACAAAAATCTTAGATGAACCTCTTATTTTAAAATTAAATTATTTGAGGAAAAATCCTGCTTTCCTTTCAGGTAATATCGGTAAAGCTTTATATACCATGGGGGGATTATCTAATTCTTGATTAGTAACTGTGTACAGTTTTATAAGATCTTTCAACCCTGTTTTTAAACTAATTGAAGATTTGCTGCCACATCGGACAAGCGAGATAAATCATGCAATTACTTCCATTAATAATAGGGCAAATTAAAACTATAACAAGAGCAAATAAATTTTGGGGGGGGTAGGCTCTAGGAATTTCAGCCTACAATTACTATCCTGATGGTGAAGGCTTGAAAACAGAATTCTTATGTTCAATGTTAGAATATCAACCACTTAGCTTGTGTAATAGTAACAACTGAATAGAATGAGAAGTGATGGGCATATAGAAATTCAGGACAGCAAAGAAAGTGTACGTGCACAAATAGACTTGCACTAGTTGTTTTCGGTCTGTTTGGGGCTTGTCAACTGTATATCTTGGGGAGAATGCAGACTATCATCTCTGAACGAGGGTGAACATATTCTTATGTGATGACTCTTATTAACAACAAGCTTCTGTGGAACAAGAACTTGATCACGATGACTGCCTTTAGTGAAACCTCTTAGTTATAAATCAATTCTAAATATTTATACAGCCTTGGGAAAGCAACCTATTTTTAAAACATTCTCTCTGATGGATGTTTACTGAGCAAACAGAAGACAGATCTTGTGATACCTTAAAATACATTTATACATTTACTATAAAATATGATTTTTAGGCCAGAATCTACCTCATTAGATTTGTAAGATGACTTACTCTGTAGGTATACTATTCACACATCAAAGTTTTAGAGAGTTAAGAGAAAATACTGGATTATATTTTGACAGACAATGCACTTTATTTAAAAACCTAGAACGTAGAAGGGACTATACTTCTACATTTCTTGAAGTTGCTCCACTTCATGTGTCAGTACTGCAGATCAGGCTGACATAATATTGGATTTGAAAGGCTAACACTGCCTTTGAATCTAATAACTTAAAACACAAGTCTACATTTATATAATTATTAACATAATATTTTAGGCTTTTTTCCCCTTTTCTTCTGTGTAAGGTAGGAGTGGAAAGGATACTTTGACTATGAACCCCATTTCATCTTCCTCCCCACAAGGACACCCATACATATTTCTGCATCAGAAGAGACATGATACTCATGTAGGGATACCTCACGGGAGAATTTCCCAGTGGGTTTTGATGTAAGAGTTTCTAGAGATCTTCCTCGTTTTCAAAGTGTGTGCAACCATTTCACTGCATGCCCTTTAGCATTTCATGGTCCAAAGTAGCCAAAATATTATTTAACAATTTCTCTGGGATTAATGAAACACAAGAGCCTGTTTCTTCCCAAAATTTGGAAGACTGACCGGCTGAGCTTCCACTTACAACACCATCAGGCAAACATACTGGTTTTATTCTTTGCACTTTAAATATGCCTAATATTATGAGAAACAAAAAACTCTTAGCTGTAACTGAATAAATGAAGTTATGAAATAGGCAGGGGACTAGCAGTTGAACAATTCCTCATTATCGTTTTAGGTATATAACCACATGGAAGAAAAGGAATGAAAATATCTTTTTGACATATGCTGTATGCCTTCCATCTGACTGCTTACTAAATTCACATACAACTGACTTGTTTATCTTCAACCAGGAAACTAGCTGTTAGCACAAAGGTGTAATTGTGTCAGAAAGCATGACAAATCACTTAAGGGTTCAACTTTTTCCTATGAAGCTAAAGGAAAAGTAGCGGATGTTTTCATCCAGATGTAGAATACTATGTCCTAGGTTTGGAAGACAATGATAAAAGCAAAACTGAATGTGCCAGATATACATTGGTCTTAAAGTTTTCAACACATCTCAGAGAACATAACGATAATTTTTAAAAAGTCAGTTAACTAAATAAATGCTGATATGGCAGATTTCTAGGCTTGTAACTCATTGAATGCATTAACTCACCATTGCACATAAGTGAAAGTTTCCTGTTTTAAACAATCCACATACATCCTCTAGTTTGTGTACTTTATATTAATTCTCAAAAATATTTTTCAGAGGAAATTAGAAGGCAATGATGTTCATCAACAAACTATCAAACACACAGAAAAATGATTTTGACAGGATGATGCAGTGTGCCATATTGTTAATATTTTAAAAATTACAGACTGGTACGAAGAAAGGAACAGTGATAATTAAAAAGCAAATCTGTACGGTATATTCCAGTTTTGGTAGTAACTATTACTGATTGTCCAGCTTCTCCTTCAATACATCCAATGAAGAGGAGCCTATAAACTCTCTGGATAACTGGCCCCACTATCAAACCGCTCTTAGTGATAGGAAGTTTTATATAACATTCAAATGCTAGAATGCTTTTCGTACATTGAACCCCCTGGCTGTATTATTTATGTAAATGTGAGGGTGAAAAATTGTAATAAGACCTAATCCATCTGTACAACAGAAATATCTCAATGTAAGTATTTCCCAATCCCCAAATATAATTAACAGCAAAATATCCCCATACTAGCCAGTTTTTCTAGAAAGGTGACAGAAGCTTCAAGTACAATGTAAACAGTGAAAAACATATTTCTCCAGCCCCCTACCTAGCAATATTTAAGAAAATTTGTGCTGAGAATGGGACTTAGCCCAGATCAATTAGAGTGATGCAATTATTTTTTTCAAATAAAAATTGATGCAATATGTTGTTGGCATAAGATACACTGTAGTGGGATTTGGGTATGACTACATTCAGTAATGCAGTCTCAGTAGGTCAGACTGTAGTCAGAAATGCCTCAACTAGGACAAACTAGGAGAAATATTAAAATAACAGTTATAAAAACAGAGAGTTAGGTTTTTCTATAGCTCTTCTTTCCCTACCACCAAGTTTATGTTAATTTATTATTATTTTATTAAGCTTATGTTATATTAAGTTGAAGTTTATGCCAATGTTTTGTCTACCCGCCCAGCAAAAATCATGATGTGGAAATGCAGAATAGTGTCACAGAGGGCTGAATTAGAAAAACAGCAGCTGTAAACATCCATGCATGGTTCAGATATACTACATCTACATAAATATTCATACCCTTTGTAAAAGAATTTTGCAAGAATTCTATCAAGGTAACACATATATGAAGATTACTTACTTTGACAAGAGAAGGCAAATTTGCATGCTGTGTCTCAGTTGGCTGTCTGACATCTTCTGGTAAGGTTGGCATGATGGGAGGTGAAGGGCACGTTGGAATGCAATGCAGATTAAAGAGACCAAGCACTGATGGGAAAGTCTGTTTCAAGTTAATCTCTGAAGATAAGTACTGTGGGGTGTTATGATCCCAGGACTACAGTAAATGCCAAAAATAAAATCAAATCCATTTAAAGTCCAGACTGTTAACGCTGGGATCACTTTATAATAACAAGCAGCAATAAAGTTTAAAGTAACAACTTATGCTTCTCCCTGTGTTTTATTAAGTATGGTTTTCAAGATCTAATGTAACATAATAACATCATTAAGAGAAATTTGCTCAACGTTCCATGAATAATTGCACGAAAACGTTTACTGGCGAGTTTGAGAGTGCATTCCCTTTTCCAAATGAATTAGACCTCCCCCTTAGTTGTTCATAAAACTTTAGGAAGAATAAAATTTGGATATTGTATTATATCAGCGGCATGTCTGTATAAATGATATAGAGTCAGTGTAGGCAAAGGAGTTCATATAAATATATTTCAGTGGTGAACCTGTTCTAAATGAGTACCTGCCACATTCCTAAAATGTATTATCTTCTTCTCTGCTTTGGTTGGAACTACTTCCTTCAATTTGGAGAGAAATCAAGATTGCTTTGCAGTTATTGGCAGATTCTGGCCAGTCATTAATAATGTCATTGACCAGAGAAGTCCATTATGCAAGTGTAATGGTCTGTCTTCCTTGGGAGTTTGTAAAACTTCTTGGCCCTTCTCTTCTCTTGAATGGATTGCATGCAGATCTTGACAGTTGCTCCAAGTTTGATATCCTTTAAACTAAATTCCAATTCAGAACTAAGACAGGACTCTTACTCCCTTTCATCATAGGGGTAGCCTTCAGTACTCTAACATAAGGAAAGATCTTAGGAAATCTTGGTTGCCTACAGCAGTGGCTCTCACCAGAAATCTGCTCGAATGTAATCTTTTCAAATGGAAAGAACTGACAATAGAAGCAGAAAATATTCAGTTCAACAGCCACATATCATCAACTCATCTATGTGATTTACTTCCTTGCTACCTGTATGATCATTATTTACCTAAAAGGTTGTTTTCTTTCAATGCCAGATGATTTGTTTTAATCACATTGGCTGATTGTATCGGCTGATGGATTAAATGTTTTTTAAATGTAATCTTATATATCACTGATCTTTTTATTTTAATGAAACAGAAAAATCAATACTTAATTTGATAGAAAACTTAAAATGATAGAAAAATAAGAGGAAGAAAGCCACAAGGCAGAGAGAAAGAGAGAGAGAGAGAATAAGAGGACAAAAGTAATAATATCCCACACAGATATAAAGAAATGCATGTTTTAGGACTGCACTGTATATAACTTCAAAAATGCTTCAGAAGAAGTACTTTGTATCTTGCATGAGTGGGGAGTGCAGCACTTCTCTACTGATCATTAGCCTGATTTTCAAATTGTCTTTTTAAAGAGTTACATTACTACAAGAGTCACATTCTTTTTTCCAGGGAAGCAGAGAATAGTTAGGCTCTTGTAAGCCTGAAACACTTCTTCTGAAGCATTTTTGAAGCATGCATTGCCCAGTATTGACCTTACAGCCTACAGGAGGTGGTATGTTTATTTTTGACTGATCCCAATACATTAAGAGGAGTCAGACTTGCTTAGCACTTAGATAGGAGACCCCAGAAAATCCCAGGGCTGCAGACTAGACCAGGATCCTGAAGAACAACAATGAATACATCTTCCACGTTGCTGCCAAGGAGTCAAGCTTGACTGAAAGGGTCTTTATCATGCCAAAACTTGTAAGCCAGTTTAGGAGGTAGCATTGAAAATTGAATAATGGTCCATAACAGCTAAAAACAACTGCTGCAAATTTTAGCACTTACATTGTACAATAGGCCAAATGGAAACACTTCTCCTATTCTTATCCTACCACTATCTGAGAAATGAAGAATACTAGATAATAGGAAACAAAATCTCTTTGGCAAAGGCAAACACTTGGAAGCAAGTGACCCAAAGAAGCAAGATAATCAGAAGGGCACTTGGTTTCAGTGGAGCTAAAGACTAGCATCAGGCTCTCCTAGAAGATGATCCGCAGTCACCTGAACAAACCTTGCTCTAGAACCCTGTGGAAGACAGTGTTGAGCCTCCATGGATCAAAGAAATCCAAGAGCCATCTTGAGAAAGAATAGGTATGTCATGGTGGTGGGTGATTCCTGCTGAGAGGAACTAAAGCAGCTCAGTGCAGTCCCATGACAATATTGTGGCTGCCTGTAACAAGAGCATGATGGAGATTTTACCAAGGCTACTTATAATACCAGACAAGTATTCCTTTTGATTCACAGGGAGACAAATGACACAATCACAAGAGACCTTGAACGAATCCAGATCACAGAAGGTAATTGTTCCATTTTACTCTGCCCTGGCCAGACCTTACTTGGAACAATGTGTCTAGTTCTGGGCACTACAGTTCAAAAAAGACAGTGACATATTGGAGTGTGTTCAAAGGAAGGCTACCAAGATACTGAGGGGTCTAGAAATAAAGCCTCATGAAGAATGATTAAAATATCTGGATATGTTTCAACTATAGAAGAGATGATTGAGAGGAAATATAACAGCAGTCTTCGGATATCTTTAAGAGTAGGTTGGAACAGATGATTCTTAATATCCATTCCAACTCCATGATTCTAAGAATACCATTTCTCACCATTTAACAAGAACCAGAGAAAGGGGATGAAGAAATATTCAGATGAGCTATATAAGAAACATTAACTACTGTACATAAGAAACATAAACATTTCCAATGTCATCTTGAAAGCAAGCCATCTCCACTCTCTTATGTGATGCCATTGTCCTGCCTGACCAATAATAATAATAATAATATAATAATTATTATTATAATTAATACAATACAATACAATACAATATAAAAATAAAAAATTAATCCATGTTCATCTTAAATTTGCCCACTTCTGATGTAGCATAAATGATCTGGTACACAGGAGACACAAATTTGGGCTTTCGGAAGTATACAATCCAATTCCACATTAGGAAAGCAGGGGTCATATAGGAAGAATAGAAAAGGGTATCATTTATTCTCAAATAATCTACACTATACTCTTAAAGAGACATAAAGTACAAAGTTTCTTCAAGATGTTCTGATATGCTTAAGATAAAGAGCAACACTATGGGGGAAAGGGCTGCCTTTTAGCCCTAGACATCCAGATGATAGATGGCAGGGCAGAAGAATCCTAGATCCAAGAGTTGCAATGGTACACTGGATTAAGGCTTTCTTATACATTTGGCACAACAAACAACACAGGCAAAGGTAGATTGTCCACTAATGTTTTCAACAACATAAGAAAATAGAAGACAGGGGAATGAAATGAAAAAGATAGCACCTTATTCCTTTTAGCTAAAACATATTAAGGAAGTTCTTCACTTGGAAATGTCTGGGTTATTTAGCAAAGCCAGGTACACATTCTGTAATGCTCAAAGGGATACTTTTTAGATTCAGATCTTTTCCACAGCCATTAGCTCTTTTTAAGACAAGTTTATGATACAGGCTTCATACTGGATAGGCAATTGGTGCTTTTAAAAAAGATTACTTTGATGTAGACTAGAAAGTTAGGTTCTTCCCCCTGTGGTAGATTCTCAGTCTGGAATTTCATTATTATCACTTGGAAAGTATACTTATATGTGTCTACAAGGAATTTGCAAGTTGTTTTACTTACATCTATGTATCATTAACTTCTGTTCCCAAAGATATCCTTTCAGTGGTGTCCTGAATCACCATTTCTATATGATTCTAACTTTTAAAAACCCTCTAGGATTCCTGACCTATGAATTATTTATGCTATGAAACAATTAAATTCCATGTAAACATTTATTTTAAGTATTTAGTTCTGAGATTAAAGTACTAAAGTTGTTTAGAAATGGAATAAATGCTTACTAATTGTGACTGTATTATCGTTTGGTTCTAGCATCCTTTCCATACAAATTCCAGTTTATATGGCATCTATTGCCTATTGGGATTTAAGATATTTTTAGTTGTCTTCCTGGAAAACAAACAGTTTCAGGAAACTTTTAAAATAAAATAATTAAAAAAACATTCATTGCTAGGAGACATGCATTGTAATTTTATGCTTGGGAAATTGTTCTTATTGGCAGTGCCATTAAATTGACCCTTTAAATAAAAGCATTTACAAAAAACACACTAAATGCAGAGTGAATAGAAAGTAATAATTTAAATGTAAGCAGAATTACAGAAAAGAAAGATGTTAGTGTGGTAAGGTAGTATCTGATAGAAGTCTTGTGAGGATAAAGTGGAGGGATTTTCCTGTTCCTTGATAGAAAGGTAGAATAGAAATTAAATAGATAACAGCAGTGAATTGAGGTTAATTTTTATTTCATGTTGTAAATCTTGTAGAAATGGGCAAATGGCAAGCTGCATTTAAAGAGCCAGCCGTAGCTTCTAGTGAATTACATAATGCGCTAACAGGGAGAGCGAACAGGAATTTGCCAGGGGATTTCAACAAGAAAAAGAGAGGAGAATGGCCAGAGAGGCAGTGGCACTGGTGGGGCGGAGGGATGTCCAAAGAGGCAAGATGGTAGCTGTGGCATCTCAGATGAAACCCCTCCCCTTTCCACATGCGTCACACGTTTGTACAAAAGGGACGAAGGTTCCATATGATGCAAGGACCACCCTCTTGCTTCTTTTGACCCTTGTCACCATGGATGCTGCTGCTGCAGAGAAGCTGTGTTCGGAAAGACTGTATGCTCAGGTTAAAGGGACGAAAATAGTATCTCTTGAATATCTTCTGACTGCATGGGGTACGTCCTGAGAGCTGCTTATTGCCCACAGCAGGTGACTGAGTAATTGTTTCCAAGCTGATTACAAGACAGCTAGGTTTCAGGGAACAAGCCAGTGAACAGGAAAAGCTAACAGGAGTTTGCCAGAGGAGATTATGGGAAAGTCTTTAATGTTTTTTTTAAATAAGAGCTCCTCTCAGCTAACGAAGTTCTGACAAGGGAATAAGAAGAAATAAAAGCTTTTCTACTAGTGGTACTTTAAGAAGCAAAGTGGAGCTGAATCAACAGGAATCTGCAACTGTAACCAGCCATGCTTGTGGAATGTTTGTCTTCCTACCTAAAACAACCTAAAATATATTTTGCAGCAATGTAGGGGTCTCTAAATGAAAACAAAAAATAATCAGAGCGAATAGCTACAATTCAGCTGATAAGAAAAGATAAGGATTTATCAGTTCAAAGAACAGAGGCTCTACAGCAGAAACTGACAGTGGAAATAACTCTTTAAGCTAATCAAACAGAAGAGCAAGCCCAGTGAATGCAAATAACAAGAAAGAAATACAGAAGATATTGTGGACCACTGGAATTCAAAAACAGTTTTTAGGCCCCTGCAGATAAAGTCGGTTCTGAGCTTTCAGATGAAGGAAAACTGACATTGCAGAATGGAAGACAGGACAATAGAGAAAGAGAAAAGCTGTGGTAGTTAGTGACTCATTATTATGAAGAAGTGAAACAAAGATATGCCAGCAGGACTCAAAACCTTGAAGTGTGCTGTCTGCCAGGAACAGGAATATGACAGAACAATGTTCAAGATTTACCAAGTCCATTGACAATTATCCCTTCCTGCTAATACATCTGGGAATAAATGTATAGAACAGCTTCAGCCATTGACCACAGATTTTTAAAATCTTGGGAGGCAGATTCGGATTGAATGTTGGGGAGGGGGGGGGGAAATCCTAACAATAAGAGCAGTTCAACATGGAACCAATTACCCAGCCAGGTAGTTGTCTCTTCATTGGATGTGTTCAAGTTGCAGCTAGATACCCATCTGTCTAGGATGCTTTAATTTGGATTCCTGCACTGAGCAGGGAATTGAACTTAATGGCCTAAATGGCCCCTTTAATCTTTGTGATTCATTGGAATACAAGGCACACCAAGACCCCATTAACTAGATAATGCAACTACTCTACAAAGGCACTTGCCAGAAGTTAAAAGAACAATTTCCTCAGACTGAATTCAGCAGACATATTTTAGTGACACAACCATTTGGTTGACACTTATTATGAAAGTTAGTTCCCTCACATCCGAGAAAAACAACCTGATATTAGAACTGTCTGTTACCAAACCAAGAGCCCAATGGAAACTGCACCTCCATCCCAAAAGAGAGGGCTGCATAGTCTGTTTCATAGCCAGCTGGGAGAAAGAGGCACAAAAATTTGAACACTGATTTCACTATAAATAGGAGTCATATTTGCCACACAGCAATCATTGGAATTCCTTTGCAATGGATTCTTAGCTTTTCTACAACAAATCTCCTTATTAGAAATTCCTTGATTCTTATATATCTGTTTAATTAGTTCCAGTCCAGACCATCAGGAGAAACCTTGTAACTGTAACATCATAAACCCATACTCTTCACAACAGTTTGTACCAAGATGATACTACAATATGTCATACATTAAATACCCAACTTGGAATAACAAAAGAAGGCCTTAAAAGCTTGGCAGAATAATTTTAAATAACTCTTTAAACTTGTGCCAAATGGACAAAAGCATGGATGCTGTTGACCTCTTTTAGGAAGAACATCCTGTAATTGGGGCAAAAGGGCACCCAACAAGAACACTCTCTTCCTCAAAGCCACTCTGAGAAGGGTATGCTTAAGGTCCAGTTAAGAACACAGAGTGAACTGAGTTCCACTTATACTTTATAGACCAAACAGACATTTTATACTTGGCCCAGAATTTAATGAAAAACCAGTGAAAGAGAGAAAAGAAGGAGTAATGTCCTCATATCTTGTCCAAATAGAATTCTTGCTGCCATGTTTTGCAGTAGCTCATGTATGATCTTTAGTAGTCTATATGGAGATTATGAGAGCATGATTAACAAAGCCGAGACATCAACTATCAAGTCAAAAAATAATAATCTGGTGAAAGCACTCTGTACCTCACAGAAGCCTTCTAAGGCCCAATGACAAAGATGGATCTAGGTGTACCCACAGTACCTGGTTCTTCTGGGGAAAAGGTAACCACATGCTTTAATCCCATTGACCTGAACTAAGAAGTTACCAGTAACAAAATTCAGTCTTGTTGGAATGGAACTTCTGTTGGTTAGCTTTTATCTGCTTTATTAGCACGGCAAGTTACTAGACTAGCAACTCACAATTATAGCAGATTTCAAAGAGAAGGAAAAATAAAAAGGCTGCCATCAACATGTGATGATATTGCACACCAACACTCCAAATGGTGTCATTAAGTAGCTTCAGATAAATGTTAAACTGCATTAAGGATAAAGAGGAAACCCTGTGGGATCCTGGCGGGAAGATCCCCTAGCACCACATGTTAAATTAATGCGAGGTGGTCCCATCCCAACCCAGCTGAGAGCCAGTGTGCTGTAGTGCTTAGGATGTTGGACTGGTACTGGGGAGACACAGGTTTTACTTCATTTTCAGTCATGGAAGCTCACAGGGTGACTTTGGGCCAGTCTCTCTCAGCCCAGCCTATTTCACAAGGTTGTTATTGTAGTGGGGAAAAAAAAAATGAGATGATCGAACAATCCTCATGGTGGATATGAATCTAACAAATAAATAAAACTCAGGGGCTATTTAAAAAGATAAGTGACTGATGATTTTGAAAACTGCTCAGAAACAGATGAGACAGGACAATGCAAATATTATTCCACAAGGCAATTAAGACCATTTCACTACAAAAGTAGACCTAATCCCTAACTGAAATAGAGCCAAAAACGTGGTCTCTTTTGAAAACACACGGCTTTCTGTGGTTACTTTCACCTTTAAATTTAAGGATAGTTTTGGATCACATCTAAAGGACTCCTTCTCCTCTAAATATTAGATAATAATTGTCTGTAAATTCCAACATTGCTATTCTAAAATGTGAGGAAAAAATAAGGCTGGAGAGAACAAATGTAATTAATTTTACTGAAATCATCTTCAAGATTTTTAAGAGGAAGTGGTAGATTTATAGATTTAAAATAAATAGCATTCAGAATTAGGCATAGAGCTAGAACATGCTAGTTTGCATCAGTGTAATGAGCTAGGACTGTACTGGAGTAGAAAACTAAGGAGGAAACCCCGACTATTAGCTCATATAAAATCCAGGGAATAAAACATTCAGCCTTTACAGCAGAGTGGCTTTTATAATAAAGAATTTTATAAAATATATAAAACTAGTGCAGATTACGCATATTGTAAATTAATTCAAAATAGAAAACCCACAGCTCACTACATTCTGTTGTTCCAATCATATCCAATATAATATAAATAGGTTTTGTTTAGTTGATTCATGTTTTGGAATTTCACTGCTTAAAATAGAGAGGCAGAATATTAATCTTTACCCCAAGGCTCAAATCTCAGAGTTGGATGCAAAGAACTTTCTTGAATCACTGAACAGTTTAGAGAATACAATATCCAGGAAGTGATGTTCTAGGAGTTCTATTCCATAAAAGGAAAAAGTATTTAGAAATGCTTGGCTTTCAAACCATTCTGGTCTTACAGCTCATTTAACCACAGCTAGGAAAGTTGAATACAAATAATCAGTAAACTTACCCACTGAGTCACGCCTAAATATCTTGGCAGATGAATGCAATTTACTCCATTTTCATGGCTAATCTGAGTGTTGACCTTAAAGATTCTGCTTTACCATGGCAAATATAAAAGAGGAAAATATAAGAATGGAAAGAGTTTTAAAATGATTGCAAAGATATATTGACAGTTTAATAGCATCTTTGGCATGATATTCCAATCTCATAGCTTTATCCCATTACCCTCCTACTGAGGTATAAACAATTTTACACATAACCTCTAACTGTTCACCTAAGGATGTATTGCCAGATCTATTCTCAGTCTATTTGGAGGAGACAGAGAAGTCCTGTGACTTTTATTTTTCAAGTTGGTTCTCTTATTGAAGATTGTGATGGGGATATGATTTAGCCAGAAACATGGAGAAATGGAATTGGAAAGTCGCCCTTGTGGATTTTGTTGAATGTTTCCTTCACGCCTGCCCTAATTCAAGCACTCTACTAAAATGGTCTTCTGTGTTATATTCCTTTTTATTCTTTCCTATCCAACTAAATGTTGGAAAGAAATTAGGTAAAGAGCTCAGGACTCTGTCTGCCCAACTGTCTATCCAAGAGGCAGGATAATTATCTGAATCCTGAATAGAATGAGATTAAATTTGGTATAGTGGGAGAAGTCAAGAAAAAATATTGAATTTGAAAATGGACTGGATCCAACTAGCAATAGCTGAGAAAAGAAATCCAGAAAAAAATTCCCAGGTGAAGCCCTATAAGAGAGGTAGCTGAGCAGCAGCCCCCTCCCCTCTCCCTCCTGAAGGGGAAGAAGTATATGGAACCTGCCCTGTGCTTTCCCGTGCACACGTATACACAAACACAGAGATGCTACACAAAGGGAAAGCAGAAGTAACTATGTATTTTGTTACAGGGAAGAAAATACAGATGCTTCTTATGGTCACTGCTGGTACAGAGGTTGGAAAGAATTCCAGAAACCATGTTTGACATGCTTCCTCTACCTCGTTAAACAGATATTCAGGGAAAAATGAAGATTCACAGAAACATGATGATAAATTACATTAAGTTCAATTGGTACTTTTCTTGCTAATGGATAATTATAGATTGCAGAATTAATGTCGTTCTCATACTTGAAAACAGTTTGCTAAAACAATTTCTGCATTTGGATAAATACAATTGCAGCAAAGCTGAACTATATATCAGCTTTCATGAAATAAGGCTTGCTATCTTTAAAGTATCATAAACAAGGAAATTTTATTCTCTTGAGCAGAACTCTGTGTGAGAAACTGTTACAAGGCAAGAATTATTTTCAAAAGATTAGCCTTCCAGAGACAGATTGCATTCAAATTGTCATGCTAAACATGTTTCTGTTTTATCTGCACTTTGTTCTACAAACCAGTCTTGAGATGAGAAAAATCTGAATGGCTGTTTGTAGTTTACTGAACAATTTATTTAGTTTACCCTTAAAATAAAAGGGTAAACCCTAATGTACAAGTATGATCCTATTAGAGATGAGAGGAAAAAACAAATGAGGAATAATCCAGGGAACCAAAAATTATTCACGTGCTTCTATTTGCAGATCAGATAGCCATGGCTGCAATATGCAGTAAGTTTAAAATTGTGGATTACTACCCTAAAGAAACTATAGTTTATTCACTGACAGTTTGCAAAATATGGCAAGTCACAAACCAAATTATGTGTAAAATTCAGCCATAATGCCCAATGCCCTTCTATTTCTGAACACTGTGTTCCAATTTCATGACAAGTTGTACAACTGCTGAAAGGATAGAATATAGTCCAGAAACAGGGAGATGCAGGGTCTGCCAGTCCTTAAGCAATGTCAGCTCATTGGACTGGAGCTTTAGTGCTGCCAATCTAAAAGGATTGCACAAATTTCCTCTCGTTTCTTCCTTGAGGGATTTATTTTCTGGTACGGAAAAAGATCAACAGAAGTGGAGTAAGAAGGCTATAAATGGAAGACAATAAAAATCTGGCTGCCCCCTTCCCCAGTTTAAATCATTTCATATGATTTCTCATTAAAGGTATTGTCTGGCAGAACCTCTCCTAGATGACTTTAAATTCCCCTAAAGTTTCAGCTCTAGTTCCATTCAACACCCCTAACTTTAGGGCTACTTCTCTTACAATGGAAATTATTAACGAGGCACTGTCTCAAATCCAATAATGCTACTGGGATGAAAGATAGGAGGGATTATGTTATTAGAATCATAGTTCAAGCTTTACAGGCTTTAGCTTCCTCTGTTATTTTGAGCATTTTTACAAAATCTTGAGAAAGAACAGTTGCAGTTTCATTATTACATATAACAGACTTTACTGGAAAATTCTATATTAATAATTTATTTCATAGCAGTTAACCAAAAATTTTGGAATGGCTTATTTCCACAGACAAAACATTTCTTCCATAAAATTAGTACTTTCCATCCAATCTTTAGATTATAAGAATCTATAATAAACAGAGATAACAGTTAAAGTATTACTACGTACACAAGATACTTGGTTGAAAATCCAGATTCTTATGCTCAACATGCTTACATAAAGCATGCAAAAGGATCAGACTAGTTTTCATAAGAATATGAAATTGTCTTAAATTAGCCCCATAAAAACTGTTGATCTGTTAATGGGGCATGAAATAGTTAACATGATATTATTATGTAAACAAGGACACAGATAGTCAAATCAAAACTTTTCTTGGTTTGCTGGGTTGTTTGTCCACAACATTATCAGGAGTTGAACTTGGCCTGAAGGAAACATTATTTTAAACTGCTAATAATATCTGTCATTTTTCTTTGTTTTCACTGAACCGTGGCCAAACAATGTGAACACAAAATGGTTTGATGAGCAAGATTATATACAATAATTAGAAAGGATGAAAGATGACTGTAGTTAGGGGAGCAGAAATTGATAATGAAATTAAGAAAATACCAATGTGAAGATGATCAGACTAACAGTAGATGAACAGTAAATTAACATTCTGCAATATAAAGTTACTTCCTTCTACTACTGCATTTAGAAACCACCATATCAACACTACAGGCTAACTGGCAACAACGTTGCTGCTATTTGTTATATATTCCCCATGGTCTCTTCCCTAAATTCCAAGATGTTAGACTTGACAAGGCCAATGCATTATGAGGTTCACGTTAACAGCCGTCTACAGCAAGCTGCCTATAGTTATTAAAAGCAAAGAGCATTACTTGTAGGACACAAATATCGACCGTGTCCTATTGATCTTCCAATATATGCATAAATTATTATTACTCATTTGATTTATGCACCATTCCGTCTTGTGAGCAATCAAGGTGGCTTACAAAAGATATTTGTGTGTGTGTGTGTTTTAAAGCAGAATATAGCATGTTAAAAATAACAATGAAAATACTAAAAAAAAAAAATGAAAATGCTAAAATCATCTAACCATTTATAAGCCTGGCAAAAGAGATACATCTTTACATATTTTCTGAACACTGAGAGATGGGGCCAGTTCAGCTTTTCAGGAAGCCCACTCCCTAGGGAACAATGCCGGAGAAAGCCCTACCCTGCATGCCAAAAGACAAATGTCTGACAGCACAGCAGGGCCAACTTTAGGCTAGGGGACCAATGCTTAGAGGGTGCCAACGCTGCCCCTCTTTCTGAATTATTCTAAAAATGCAAATCTTTGCATCGGTGGGAGGTGATGCCATCGGTCAATGTGACTTAGGGGTACCATATACTCTTGAGCTAGTACTGGGGCTCAAAAGAAAATTTAAAAACCCCAGAGTTACAGTTACCCCAGCAAAATTGTGTACCAATATCAGCTGCTGACCTAATTTGGTTAGTTAAAACCAGGGTTAATTTTCTGTGGCTTAGCATATTAGTTTATGATTCAATGTGCTGTGAATACATTAGTGAGTGAATTTAGTAACCAGGAGCCCTATCACACTATGGTTTTCTTGATCCTCTCCTGCTGTACCTTTCTTCGTCCACTGAGAGACACCAACATTAAACCAATGTGAAAAAGTCTGGTTCCTGGCTTTTGGAAACTGCTCACATCAAATCAAATCTTTATTATGGTCACAGACCAGCATATTGCAGACTGCTGTATACTGCAAACATAAACACTTCTGGCCAAACGTCTCTGTGTCTCTAAGGGAGGGGTAATGCTAGAAGCATTTTTACTATTCTTTTACATGGGGGGAAAGGCTATTTGGTATTATACCAAATGTATTCTAAATGGACACAATAAAGCCCTACACTTTCTCTTTTTTCTTTTTTCGGCCTAGCTATGTCATTTTAGCTCCTTTCCTTTATTTCAGCTTATTAGCCTCAATTATAATTTTATTCTTTGGCTCAGCTATCACTCATTTGAAAGATTTAATATGTTTGGGCAGCTGTAAGTCTATTGAATTTATTATGCTTACCTACTCACTCACTTGCTTACATTTATCTTCAATTTTTTTTTTTTTTTTACAAATGCCCTAAACAGTTTTCAAAAATGTTTCTTCAGAAAGTTTTCATAAATCCTACCATTTATGTAACCATTCTAATGTTACGTTGCAATACTATAGTTCCAAATGATATTAGCCCCACAATTCAGTTCTGCCTACTCATTTAATTCATAAAGTATTTTACCAAAACCAAAAAACAACAGAGAACATCATACACCTCTAGATGGAGATCAAACCATGATCTCAGTCCCACAGAATATTCCCATTAGATATGCTAGTTGTCATTTGGAGAAGGCTGCATATATCTTAGGTATGCTCACAACTGCTCTTTCTTTCACAGAATCAGTTGGCATAATGATACATATGGTCCTATGGGCCACAAGTATAGATGTGTATGAAAGAGCTCTTAGCTCAAGTCAGTTCTGGTTGAGCATCACAATGCTCACACATCTGTTCTTCATGTTGTCTTTTACCACAATGTCATGAGAACCAGGGTTCCTCAATCTCAGCAACTTTAAGATGGGTAGACTTCAACTCCCAGAATTCCCCAGGCAGCATGGCTGGCTAGGGTATTCTGGGAGTTGAAGTCTACCTATCTTAAAGTTGCTGAGGTTGAGGAACCCTGATGAAAACCATCCTGTGATCTCAAGCAATGTTAAGAACATCAAGAAAAAATAATTTTATTAATTAATTTAATTATTGAGATTTCAAGAGAGCACCAAATCCCATAAGATTACAGAATTCTCATTGAGATCTCACAAGATTTATGATTTTCATGACATTTTGGTCAGTTTTATTATATTTTTTTAAATTGGATATTGGAATCCCAAGTGTTGCAATATGAAATTAGCATTCAGATATTTGTTCTGATGAGTATGCTACATTTATTGTTGTTTAATAATTTCTTAAGTTACGATTCCTACTTAAGCTCTTCGATTTAAACTTCAAGTCCTTGAACTGTTATTTAAACTTACCAGTGTATCTCTTGCTTTTTAAAAAAACAAATTGCAATAATGAACAATGTTTTTGTATTTCAGTTTAGAATTTAATTTTGTTTGTTTGTTAGGATGACTGGATGCAAGTAAGAACTTCAATGGTTTTTAAAAGGAAAGTTTTTTAAAAAACATTTTTCTTCCTGGCCCATTTGTGCCAAGTATGTCAAGAACACATGACAAAATCTGGATCCAAGGTCTATTTAAGATAATCAGTCAAGGTTACATTTTGACAGATTTACAGAATTGCAATGCAAAAAATATCAGATTGTATCCACTTTTCAGCCGTAATATAAAAAGTAAAACTATTTCTAAAATCAAATTGCTTGAAAACATATTCTGTTTGTATCCTCTCATTTGTGGTCTCTCTAATCTGTTGTACATTAAAAAAATCTGCATTTTTTCTTCACTAGTGCTTCAATATATTGCATCTTTTTCTTAAATAAAGGCTGTGAGACAGTTTCGACAATATACAAATCTTCTCAGCTGGATCTTCACCATATAAAAGTATTCAGTGGTGGTACTATACAACCCAAACTAATGGCAAAAATGTATTCAAATTATAGGCAAGAACTCCGGCTTCATCCTGTTTCCCTGGTTCTCCTTGCTTGGTGGTGAAGTCAGAGTGCCAGAACACCTCACTATCACTTCAGCATGGCTTTGCAGTTCCCTCTCAAAATATCATTTTTTCCTTGCTGCAAAACAAATGACGTGAGGCGGTGATGAGGGGGAGGAAATTGGCTGGCTGCTGCTGTTTGTGCTCTCCTTTACTTAGCTGGAGGGAGCGCTAATCAGCTTGTGGGAGTACTGAGCACTGTTAAGATGGCACGGTGGGGGTGGGGCATGAGACTCTCTTTCTGGATTTGGGGGTGAAGATGGTAACTAAGGGCAAGTGCCCTGATCAAACACTGCCTGGTCTCTTTTCTTCTAAAACTATCCTAGGAAAACTTAAAAAACAAACAAACCAACCCTAATTTTCTCTAGAATTTTGGTGCTGCCTTCAGAAGACAGCACAATAGTCTTTTTCAATAGCATCCATGTTCCTGGAGCATTTAGTTTCTGGAAACTAAACATTTGTCCTTAATTTGATTTCTGTTGTTTTACTATTTCTCAGTTGAAATGAACAGTAGCAATTTAAGCAGGAAAAAGGAACTGGGTACATTTGAGGACACTGTTAGGGAGGTGGCTAAATCTGTTCCCTGCCCTTAGCGACCTACAAGAATCCAGGAAGTGATTATTAGCAACTTTCTAAGGGTAAGCAGGACAAAGAGGGTAAAATAGTTTGGGCAATCTCAAGATGACCAGCTTTTCTAATACTTTAGGTTGTAGATTCTGCTAGTGCAATACTTTGCAGAAAGAAATTTGGATTATATGCTTTATCATTTTAACCATGTTTGTTAATAAAAACAGCTTTTGTAGAACTGAATTTTCTAACAAATATTTTTATTTATTTATTTATTCAATTTGTATGGTCATTCGTCTCTGAGTGGTAAACAACCTTAAAATAAATTAAAAACAATTTCCATCACAAATAGAAAAATTAAAATACGCAGCAGTTAAGGAAGAGACTACAATCGACAGTTGCTAGCACAGCCAGAAGATAACCACACACTTGGGGCCCCAGGTCCAGGCCCAGGCCCCAGAACCAGGTCTTTAGGGCCTTACAAAATATTACTGAAGTCTTGAAAGCTATGCCTATTTTTAAGTCATAGCAATATTGCAGTAATTGCCAAATGGAACAAAATTACAATTACAAAACGATATCCAAAGAAATTAGTACAGAAATTGCTTATCTTCTCTGAGAAACAGATGGAAGAATGGAAAAGAAGGCAAGACATTCCCACTGTCCTGCTTGTGCACTCATAATTCAGAAGATTGGAAGGTTTCCTTTTCATTTGGCAATTGGGCAGAAAGCTGCCTACATATTTCTTTTTCTACTGCTCTCTACATTATACTGGAAAATAGAGCCTACAACAGCCTTCCCTAAGCTATGCTCTACATGTTAGGTCTACCATCTCCAGAATTCCCAGCAAGCACAACCAACACGAATTTTGGAAGTTTTATAACTGGAAGGCATTAAGGTATTAAGTCTGACTAGCTCTACAAATTTCCTTATATTGACAATCTAAAATTTTGATCACCTGTAAAATTTCATTTCCCCATATCCTGTTGATTATTGCTCAGTCAGGAACAGATCTACAGTTAAAGCTGATAAATGAAAAATGAATATAAACTAAACAATACAAATGTTCTGAACAAGAGTCCATTGGAGTTAGACGGTTATAATAAATAAAAAATAAAAACAATTAACAAGATGTGATATTAAGATATAGACTTAATAATTATTGCATCTCAGTATCTGCTGAATTTGTAAACCTAATTCTGAAAAACTGGTAAGTCTTTATATATTCACTTTCAATTTGAATATATAATTTATACATATAATTTGAATTTGAATAACTGAACAATGTATTCAGTTTATTCAAGAAGGCACAAAGGTTTTGAATTTAAATCTACAAATGGAAGTGTATATCCTTATGTCTAATTGGCTATACCAATATTCAAACAGCTTTTAACTGTACATTTGCATTGCCAATGTAAATAGAAAAGGAGCACAAGTGAAAATACCCTTCCCACAAAAGACAGGCTCCATCGATTTTTTTTTTTTTAAATGTGGCCAATTTACTGTGGCAATAAGAATCTAAATATACATATTTCTATCTAACAGTCAACATTTGGTTGCATAATTAGTTACCATAGGAACCTTGTTAGGGTTGCATTCAGTGTTCCAGATTCACGACATACTTTAAGAGGGAAACAAAAAGATAGGAAAATATGATGCCTTTTTACATTTGTCATACTAACTCACTTTGCTTCTCAAAAGTTCAGCGGCTTACTTTGCTACATCAATGGCTCATTTCATCCTTGCTTCTTTTCCTTTCCATATCTTTTAAAACACTGCTCGCTGAGTAATTTTAAGAAGTTTACTCTTTTAAATGAAACATCTTTTAGGGCATTAACATCACCGTCTAATAAAGTATTTCTTGAAAAAGTACTAATTTTACAAGACATTTTATAAAGCCAATCCTCATGCAAAAAGTAGGTTCAATTTACCTTGTATTGTTTTGCCCATACTCAGTCTTAGATGCATGTCTTTTGCTGTTTAAGAGATTTTCTTTGAATCCCCATCTTTGACCCACGAAGAACTGATTAGGAAACATCCAACATCTCTTCTGAGTTGAAATGTGTTCTAAATTCAGTGCATCTATGATTAACACACAATATCTGAAGATCAGAAACTAGGAGGCAACACTGTGTATTATGTAATTTGCAAATGCTTTTTGCTGTAAAGCTTAAAGTTGCACTAACAAAAAAAATTCCATTACAGCTTATTTTAAAAGTACACGTTAAATCCAATATAATGCAACCTGACATTTTGGATAAACAGCAAGTTGAAGCTTATTTAGAAAGGGGGAGGGAGGGAAGATTATTTTAAGGAATAGCCAATTCTGAAAATAAATTTATATCTTATTTTAAAGGTTGGAAAAGTTTGCTTATACTTTTGAAGGCTCTATAGATGGAAGCAGTTTTAATGAAAGCATCTTTTTTTTTTCTTGGTAAGATACTTTAGAAGAATCTAGTTTTTGTTAATACTTTAACTGTGTTAAGATGCTTTTCATTATATATGCTACAGCTAATACAGTTCACACTGCTTATAGCTAGCGAAGATCTGACCGAAACCCAGGTGAACAAGATGGCAGGCACCTACTGTTAATTGTATATATTCTTCCAGCTATTATGCTACTCAAATATAAATTATGTACTTCTTCAACTGATTAAACCCACAGGACTGCCACATAAATCATTATCTTGCCAGCTAACCAAAAAGTTACCTATATATTGGTCAATCCAGAGCTTTGATGGGGTAAATAGCCCACTGGGGAAGCGTTCCCATCTCCAAGCAAGTTATCTACCCAACTGATTTATCTGGACATTCTTGCGGTACAGCATCATCATCACATCTACCACTGCTACTAGTCTTCACAGAATTATCGAATTTCTGTAGATTAGTGTTTCTATTGGTCCATCAATTAGCTGTAATTCAAGTATCAAGATCCTTCTATCCTATATCATCCTGAGTGCAGATGAGAAAATAGATGTCTCCATTCTCTACTTGCTTCAACACCACCACTGTATCCCTCAACAGAAACAAGGTACTCATCCTTGGGCTGGGGGCAAGATGTACTAATAAAGCTATTTAATTATGTAACTCCAGACTTGAATAATTGAAATTATTCCCCACATTAGAAATAGCTGTTTCTCACTTTTTGGAGTAGCATGCTTAAATCTTCTGTTTACATATGAAATCTCAGGAAAATAGCCCTCAATTCAGCATCCATTTTTAGACATTTAGATGTGAGGGTGTACATTAAGTGTACCACACTACAAATCAATCACCACTGTCATCCAAAGTGAGGTGCTGAATTTAGAGTCAAAAGGAGTTGGAATACCACACCAGAATATAACAAGCATTGGCCAAAAGAGACATCAGAAGAGGCTGTTCACTGTATCTTCTGTTTCTTTTCAAGGCATACCAAAGTTCACCCATTTATATCACAACATGTATGTTGAAGGATAAAAAGAAAAGACCTGTGCCTATCATATGACTCTGATAAAGAGAGCACATGGAATCTCTTCTCTACATATAAGAAAGAGAGTGCACACACAGATACAAAACAGTAGGATTGAGAAAGGGAAAGACTATCATTCTGGATTACAGTTTTGCAGCATCAACTCTGATGAATAAATCAAAGTCCTAGTATATATTAAATTGAGGAAAAGAAAGTAAGGAAAGTGAGGAAATAAAATTAACTACAGGTGCACGTTTACATTTACAAAAATGAATTTTAACTTGGGTATTAATTTAAATACAAACATTAATTTCAGAAAAGAATATGCTTTTTACAATGCAATTAAATGACGAGTAAACACAATGCATGTGACAATTAAAGCCTTGGACACTATGAGATTGATAACCAGTTCAGCCTTTCCAAACTTGGACATCTTCCAGATATGTGGACTTCAATCCCATAACTCCCCAGCCAGCATAGCTATTGCTGAGAATTCTGGGTGTTGAAGCCTACACAGTAAAGACCACCAAGCCCGAGGAATGATTGAAGTCACTGGTATTCTTGGTATCAAGCCAATGTGCTAAAATATAGTTTATGAAGTTTTTTTTTATTTTTAAAAACCTGGGAAAATGCTAAGACCCTAATTAATCTGTATTCATCCAGATAAAAATGTAAGACAAAGAACCAAGAAGTTATAAAAAGCCAATTATGTAATCAGGTAGCCCTTTATGATTTTACTGGAAAGAAACCCCAAGTATAAGAACTACTATGTTATTCAGAGATATTTTATACTTTAAATCCAACAAGCAAAAACTGTTTAATTTTCACTTGTATATTACATACTGTTTAGAAATGCAGTTGTTCATACCTATCAGTAATGTTGGAAAGTTGAAATCATCATTGTCAAGAGAAAATATGGCTCTGGAAGTCAAGAAGGGAAAACAAATCGGTAGCAGAAATGCTGATTTTGAGCAAGTGGTACCCTCCTATTTTAAAAAAGACAAAAACCTATTAGAACAAAACTCAGTTTTATTCAGGTATCAGCTTTTACAAGTTAGACTCATAGATGTATGCTACTCCTTCTCCATGATACATTCTAAATAATTTTGATGGCATATATTGAAAGTCTAATTCCCCCTCGAATATCATCTGTACAAATACTGCCAAAATTAATCAAATTAATCTGTCAGAACCAAGCAGTAATATGGGGGATGTGATGGAAAATTAGACTGACGTCAGCAGAAGCGTGATGCAAGCTCCACCCCTTTTCTACGTGTGCCATGATGCTACACGCGTGCTTAAAAGGACAGAGTTGTGATGCAATGCAGCATTTATCTTTCTAATGATAGTGGTGAGTTCCTCTAAATGCTGTTGGAACCAAGCTTTGTGGCACCTTAAAAACTTGCAGATTTCTTCTGGCTTAAGCTGTCATTGATCAGAACATACTTTTATGTTAGTTGCAGTTTTGTCAGGGGCATGCACATGAACACATATACAAGTATGTGTCTCCCTGTGCATGAAATAGTAAAACAATACAGCACTGTTCACCTAGATCAGGGGTCCCCAAACTCTTCAGCTCATCAACCCTTTCATAAGGTTTTGGATTGTTCATCATCCCCCAAACTTTACATGAAAATAATTTAATTCTACTTTAACTAATAGTACTACAAATAACAACAACATCAACCCCTTCAAAATTCCATGGACCCTTGGGAGTCAATACTGACCACTTTGGAGAACCCTGACCAAGATGAACTTGAGTGTTCTAGAAAAAAGAAAGCTAAGTACAGTAGAATTGGCCCTGATCAGTACTTGGCTGGGGAAATGACCTGGGATGCCCAGTTATAGTTTCAGCCTGGAAGCTGAAAAAACATGTAGGAAAAGGCTACTGTAAGCTAGTTCTGTATCATGCCAAGAGAACTGTATGGCTGAATCTATGTAAGTCACTACGAACTGAGCTTGAATTTTCCTTTTCCTGTCTCTCAAGTTATTGTTTTTCCACAAGAAGTCTACTTCAAACTTCAGTGGCTTTCAGGTGAATACACTGCAGTGCACTCTACAGACTATCTCTGGAGATGATTCAGAAACTTCAGCTCATAGAAAATATCTGAAAATTGTCTACTGATGAACTTGAAGTAGAATTAGCAAGATAGGAGAAAGCTATCATAGATGTGGGCAACCTGTGCTCTATGGACAAATCCGCATCATCTTTTTTAGGACAGAGACTGCTCAAGATTTTACTGTCAAAATTCACTGCCTCTGTTCTATCCAGCAACATAATTTAATCAACAATCTACTCATGTCACTGATGTTGAAGCCTCCAAGTGGTGGTGGTAAACACCCTACTGCAAGGTCAAAATATGAGAAAAACCAAATAGTCCCTAACATCACAAAAAATTGAATGTATACACTCTACCACAAAGGGCAGGCAAAGTTTGGAAACGTCGGCTTTGCACTTCTCCCAGGCCTAGCTAGTTTCAGGAGGAAACCACCTTACTTTTAACACTTTTAGAAACAACCAACAGAGATTTCAAAGGACAAGCCAAAGGAGACGCAGGGTGGTGTCTTTGGAAGAGCATTCCAACAGACTAGTAACATGTGTTGGCATCATTGCTTCAAGTGTTGAACCTATCTGGATGAATATGATGATTAAAGATCAAAAATCTACCCACTATGGCTCCATGTTGCTAATTTTTAAAAAATGTGGTCCATGGTTTTCAGAAAGAAACCATCCTTCTTCTTGCATTCCTGCTAATTAATTCTTAGGCTCAGTTCTAAGTACTGGATAAAGAACAGCTGAAACTGTACATGGTCAACTATATTTTGCAACTTGGAAAACCAATTTACTACCCAAGCTGCAGCAATATTTTTAGGAAACACAGCATACAAAAATATAGGAATGCAGAAAGACCTAAATGCTCCAAGTCCTAATTAGGTCAGTGAGTTTATCCTCTCTTCTGTGAACATCCCTAGTATTTAACAACAATAGTGATAGCCAGTTAGAAACTCTGATATTAAAAACAAGGAAACAAATTCAGGATTGAGAACTGCTCATAATATTCCAGTCAGGCACTTATTAGGAAAAAATGGCATAAACTCTATGACTGTTGTTTTATGATGGAGCAAAGCGATAACATATCTTACATACATACATACATACATGCGTGTGTGTGTGTATATAACTTAAAAGCCAAGACTTTGCCAAAAATACATTAATTTACATAGAAGCAAGCACACACCAAACTTGAAAAGATCATTTGAGAGAGCCAGCTATATAAGAATATGCAATTTGGCTAGCTGCCCATGGGTTCAGACACTTGGGAATACCATTGGGATTGTAATGAAAATGTTAAAATAGTTATCCCACATTGCTTATTTATTTTTAGTGGCATTAATTCTAGTTCATCCAAGGGTTCTTTGACCATAGGCCTGTTTACAAAAAGTTTGGGCTGTTTGCATGACAAATTGCTTGGTTCGTTTTGTACCAACACTTAGTCTAAAGACTCACATAGTATTCTAGTTAGGATTTTTCTGTCCATTTGCTCTATAAGCTTTTAATGTCTATTTGAAAAAAGAAACAGCATTCTGTTCCTTCCCCCTAGTTTTTACAAAGCGTGTGGTTGAAAGAGAAGGAAAGCCAAAATTGCCGACGGGGAGAAAGAACTCAAGTACATGAAATAAATAGTAAAATACACTTTTTGGTGCATTGGATCCTACTGCTTTGAAGAAAATGAGACTACAGGCAATAAAGTCATTTAGGAACCCCTGACAGTAAATTTCTAATACTTCAGCATTTACTGTTTAAAGAAAGTTCCAGCATTTACCTATTGGGCCTACTGCAATCTTAAACCAACCATGATTCAGCAAGTCCTTGAGTGCTAATATGGGAATGAGATGCCACAGAAGCAAAGTCTTCCGCCAAAAAATGCCTCCCTGCCTTACCATCACATGCATCTATCTAATAGTTAAACATTCCTCATGCAGAGAAAGTTTGGTCAGTTTCTATTTCTGCTGGACAACATATTGTTCAACAGAAAAAGCAGTGATTAATTTGACACTGCAATGAGAATCTTATCCCAAGCACCAGTGGTTATCAGCACCGTTTACAGCTTGGTGTGCTTAGTCTCTTCTTCAGCGTTCCAAAACGTGCTTTCAATTTGATGGAGTAGCTTTTATATTTGTAGAAAATCTAATGAAGCCTGACTAAATGACATTCTTTCTAGGGTGCCAAATGCCTTCATATAAAGATGCCCTTGAGTTAAGCTTGATTCTGGATAGCTTCACAGACACAACCGTATAATTTTCTTGGCAGTAACATAGATGACTTGCCAATTACTTCCTCCATGATGGTTTTCGAGTTTTTACTCTAGCCTATAGCCTGGGCATTCCTGGGAGATCTCCCATCCAAGTACTAGGCAAGCCTGATCCTAGCCAAGCCCAGACAAAACTCACTGGCTACTTGCACATGCAGCTATCTTGATGGAGACCTAATTGTACATGCCTTACAAATACCTATTCTTTTCCCATATTCCTTGTTGCTCAGGGCACTGGAGATGGTTTTTTTGCTCTAGAAAAAACAAGAGGTCATACAAAAATTTCCTTCCAGGCAGACTAAAGGCAAGAAAATACTAATAAACACAGACAGAAAGCTATCAATCCAATGACAAAACATTATGTATTTGGCCTAATGCATTTCAAATATATGACAATCAACTCTCCAAATGGCATTTGCATATTACTGAGGGCACCCTTCCTCAACCTATAGAAGTGTTGGGAATTCTGAGAATTGAAATCCAGCACCAGGTTGATGAAATCTTTTGTATCTATTTATTGGACAAGTAGTAAAGTGGTGGAGCAAGAAAGAGAAAACCTGAGAGCAGTCTTCATTTCAAAACTACCTTCTCAAAATCTCCAGGGGAACTAATGTACAAGAGAGAGGAGGTTAGCAACTCTCTCATATAGCAAACAATCATGACAGGACAGAAGGTAAAATGCTTGGCTTATGCTACCAGAGCCTCCAACTTTGAGAACTCTGGCCACTAATACTGCTAGGGAAATACACAAGTCTGTCACTGGTTCTAGTTTTGTTACAGGTTTGGCAAAAGCTCAATATAAATACTTAAGATGCAAATTGTATAACCATTTATGAATATGGTCTTAGTCTAGTTTATGTTCTTGTTATCCTGAAAATATCTGGATATCATGTATTTTCCCTATTTCTTTATTTGGAGCTAGAAGACTCCAGTACATATTCCACTCCTAGACATTGTTAAGAATAATTAAGTCCTAGTAACTTCAATGAGCTTTACAAGTATACACACTTTGGACCTAAAATGCAACCTATGGCATTTCAGGCAAAATGTTTTGGGAGAATAAAGTCCTAATATGATGAATGGGAAGTTTCCTTGAAGTAATCAGAGGCATGGCAATGAACTATTGTCAATTCTCACATCAGTTAAAGAATGCAATTGCCATAGTAACAGTGCAGGCATTTAAACAGAGCAACAGACTTTTTATAGCATCTTTTTGGTTGTCAAACTGGCATGTGCTTTTAGATTCAGAGCAGATACAAGATGGCTTATAAGTCAAATATGAATGGAAGAAATTACAGAGGGTATCTTTGTCAAAGATATGGTATATGATTTGCAGACTCTTACAAGCATTCAAAGTCTTTAGTGTGAACTTTTACTGTTATATTTTATCTATGTGTTTAAAAAAAGAATGAGTAGTATTCATTTCTAGAGAGAGAAGCCATTAGAGATGTCTCATCTAGCCCAAAGTTTTTGCCAAACAAGCACTTCTAATCTGCTCTCAAAGTCAGATCTCCCAAACTGTTTTTGAGAAAACATTGTGTATTTGTACAGTGTCCCTACTAATTGCAAGTCATGTCTGCAATGGAGGCCTATTCCCAGATGGGAAGTAGTGGGAGAAGGGTACTGTACTTTGCATTTGCTGAGGTTTGTTTTCTATACCGATTGTCACTTCATGGTTTACAGAGCTGAGCATTGGTTCTGACCTGGAAACAGATTATAAAAGAAAGTCCTGGCTGTCATTCAGCTTGCAAGGCTTTATCAAGACCTATATAGGAAAAACTTTTAAAAGTTGCCACAGCAATAAACATGATAGGATCCCATTTGTTTGGTTCAAGATGGAAGTAAATAAGGATATACAGCAAGATATGAACAGAGATGTTTCTAAGGAAATAGTTTCTGGCTTAAATATCTCCTGGCATTTTAATGAACTGTTCAAGCTTTAATCATCAATATGGGTTTAATGCTATTGAAGCTCTTCCCATGATTGATTTTTTAGTCAATCTATGTGAATTTGAGCCTTCAAATATTGATGTGCAAATGCTATTATTTTTATTTTATACTGTACCATTGCAGCATATAGTGTATTACAGATTTACAAAGAACTATGTTGACATTTTTGTTGTCTAAAAAATTTATGAGGCACAAATTACAAGGCTCAAATTGCCATACTTTGGAGGCACGATGCAAAGACCTAGCTCTCTAGAGAAATCTCTAGTGCTGGGAAAGGTGGAAGGAAAGAGGACAACCAACAGCAAAGTGGCTGGGCTAGGTTACATTTGTGATGGGTGCACCATTAGAAGACCTAAAGGACCAAATTAGGAACAGATTGTCATGAAGAAAATCTATATGAGATTATGTTATTATTATAAGAGTTGACACTGACTTAATGGCACATAATCAATCAGTAGGAATTTGCAGTTAAAACAGTGAAGAGGGATGGAGAGACAAATGTTAAATAATACACAACTGTTATTACTGTAGTACAAAGGACCAGGCTGTAGCTTCATTATAGCATATCCCATGATTCTACACATTGTGCTCTACTGTGTCTTCCAACTGCTATTTATTTGAAACAAACAAAAACATTCTTCCCCTAACAAAATGCATGTTTAACATGACTAAACAGTTATGAATTCTTTAAAACGTTTTATTTATAAATTCTCTCATCCAACTTTTAGTTTGTTCTTACCGTACAATGTAGGCTGAGAGTAACAATAAGTTGTATCCATAAATTGGCTTATTTCAATTCAGTCTTTCATATTGTGGTTTTTTAGCACAGGTTCCCCTGAAATTTCAGTCAGGGTTTTGTTTTGCAAGTTCTGCACATAATAGCTTCCTGGGCAGAACAAGATAGTGTTGTTCTGTCAACAAACTGGACCTCTCCATACCCCACACCCCCACTCCAAAAAAAAGATTTTGAAAGATTCGTATGAAACAAAAGCTTTGGAAGGAATTTGAAAAATATGTGATTACATTTTTTTAAAAAAAAAGTTTTTAAACAAAATTATCTTTTTAAAAATTACATCAGGAACCAGAAGTTTGGGTGAGGCTTTCTTCCCTTTCCTAACCTCACTTTCACTTTTTTTGGGGGGGGGGCACCTTCCTGGCTTTTTCTTTTCCATCCCAGCACACTTTTTTACTGCCTGCACATGGCTGATCCTATCACTTATCTCATGGAGTAGACCTCACTCACTGTGACTCCTCTTGAGAGGTCTCTTTAAAATTCTCTATAGGAAAGAAGATGTGAACAAAACCACATGCAGATTTTAAATGGTCATGTATTTGAAAAGAATCTTTTTAAAATAAAGATGGGCTGGGAAACTCCCCTATTCCTACTGTCAATAAAACTGAATGGAAATATAACTGATCTGCAGATCCTTTGATCCTCATTGGAAGGACTGGCATTCAACAGCTTTTTAAAGAGGGAAATAAATCCTAATGGAAAGGACTAATTGAAAGGACCTAAAACCCAAATAAAGGCAGAAAGATAACACAGACATTACATGAGCTAGCAAGACATCTTCTCAGTAAATAATAAATGAGTGCTGGGGTTACTAGGGCAGGTGACCTGATTGTACATCATGGTTTAGATGTTACAGGTGAGTTAATTTCTGTTTGGAGTATTTCTCTGCATACAAGACATTTTTCAGTCTTGAGCTCTTCCACAAAAAGCCAGGTTTATATCATTAAGCCATCACTTATATTTCTTTAAAAACAGCTGAAAATAAGATCCAAAGCAAATATTCCAGTTTAAAAGAAATTAAGAATTAGACCCTTTCTAAAGGTCTTATTACAACTCCCAAATAAATTTCGTTTTCCTGCATGAAAATAAGTGCAATTTGAATGTTTTCTTATTCATCATTCTAGAACATCACATCTCTACTGCTACACTTCAATATAAATATAAGCATTACAAGCTATATACTTTGAATATAAAACAGATTATAGCCGATAAAACAATGTTGTATTTTATCAATATATAAATTATAGCTGAGTATAGTACTTACTGTAAATGCTAAGAATATCCCCTGTTTCTCCTGAGTGATTTAAAACTTGTTCCAAATTAAATATCATCCAGCCTTTGAGACATGAAAGCAAAATGGTAGCCTGGTGGTCTTCAAGGAGTTAACTAATAGTGTACAATGGAGACAACTAAGTTCTCTCCTTTCAGAAAATCTTCAGGCACCTAATTCTATTGTGCTCTGCATTCTTTCTCACACAGTCACATATACAACAGCAAGAGATGTTGAAATGTGAGCATTTAAGTATGAAGTTTCCTGCTTTCATTATTTGGTTTAGAATAAAATGTCAGACATATCAAAGGTGTTCAGGAACAGTTTGGTCCTGAGTCTCAAAAACTAGATGTAGAGGACTGGATATTCTTTATCAAAGCTATTTTCCTGTCCTTAGAGCTTACAGCTAACTCAAGCTCTTGAATATACAAGAACAAGACAAAAAACAAACAAACAGACATAGCATGCATTCCAATATAGCCATGACTTAAGGGAAGAATGCACATAAGTCTAGGTAAGTTCTGGAGCACCAGAAACAAATATAGCAAATATAGAATCTTAACATCTCCTGAAAGGAGATCAATCAGAAAGAACAGAAATAATGCACTTCCAATGGAAATAGAACAGTGCTGTTCAGCATATTTTTATAATGCTGTAATAACATACAAAATATATTTTTTAATTGAGCTATAGTTATTGAAAAGGGCTGGGTTATAACCCTTAAAATGATTACAAATATACAATAAATATTTCCAGAAGTTAGAATTCTTGGCAAATTCTAATAAAAGAGTTACTATGGAATACTTTTAAACCAGCCCTGGTTTGCTTGCATAAATATCAAGGCTATCAACAGAATCTTAAACTTTCAGTTCATGGTAGCTAACAAAAATTGAACAGAAGTATCAGGCATGTATACTTTAAAATGGTTGCTTATAAACAATGTTAATTACCTGCAAACCAATTACAATCCAATCCTACCTTCCAGTAAGATTGTTTTTTAAAGATCATTTGTGTTTAATTTTAGAAATCCTTAAAGAAATCTCCTGAGTATGCTTATAGCTTTTTTTGAAAAATAGATAGGGACCATCATTCCAAAGACACAGTTCTGGAGACATCTTCTGAAAAGACAGGTTCTAAAGGCAAGCAGATATCTCATCAAAGGACGCAATTTGACTATATACTAAGTGAGCATATAGCAAAGAAGCCCGTACAGCTGTGCATTACTGCTGCAATGAGCTCACTTTACATTCATTTATAAGTGGAGTAATAGCTAAACATCTCAAATTGTGAGCCAAGAAGAGCTTCACTTAACAATTAAGGTAAGAGCACAATTTACCAATAAAATTAGTTCATTAAACATCAGGCTTTAACCTGGACTTACACTGACATTTCTTGAGCACGGTTTTGTATGCACATTCAAACTAGTACAGGAGAAGGAAGGGGGTTTAAGTTAAGTACTTTACCAAGATACTCCTGTTTAGGAAACTGAAATCCAGGACAATCGATAAGGCTTCACTAAAGCATAACAATGAGGTACTGTACCTTTAAGGTAGAAAAAGGTTCCTTGGCTGAAGAAAGTGCTATACTCTCAGTTTACAGAGACTACTTACCTAAAACTGAGCCATTCCTCTGTTTTCCCCATTCAGCAAAGCTTCCTTCTCTCTCTCTTTCTCTGTTCTACTCACTCTGGGAGCTTTTACCATTTAAGGTCAATGTGTAACATCTGGCTCCCTTAACTAAGCTAAAGCACTTGCTAGACTTAGCCAAGCTTCTAACATTCAAAACGGATTTTAAGAAACTATTCAGAAAGCCAAGTGAAAGATTTCCCTCATTTTAGCAGAAATGCTGAGAACAAGAAGCAGATCCCCATTAGCATTCTCTCACAGTTTACAACACGAGGACATTACTCATTTCTGAATAACTAAATTTAAAATGGGCACATAGGAAACAGATGAAATCTCAAGATTGTGTTAACTCTTAACACAGGTGTACACATTAGCAAAAGCATTTTTTCTGGGATGTTCTTTCCGCTGCTTCTTATGAACAAAGCTTTCAAGAACATATTAAGTACACCTACATGTTTAGGAAAAACCTCTGACCCAGTTCCAGATTAAGACTGTATTCCCCTATTACAAAAGAATAATGTAAACTAAAAATGTATATTCAAGAGGCTGCTATTTGCATCTTGCATAAGAAGAAGAGAGACAAGCAATAGTTTATTTTTATAGCATGGATCTCACCTAGCACAAACCAGATTTTAAAATCTGGAGTCTCCAAGTTACTTACAGCCCCACAAATGATCCATAAACTCTTATTTTTTATGGCCTTAGACAATATAATAAGTGAAATCTTCCATTATTTACCATATCACAGTATCAAAGATGGAATTAATACCTCAGTCCTGTTAATATGGTTGTTTTTGTTTTTAAGTAAGTTGGATAAATTCCAAATTGAGCTATTTAATAAACAAAACGGACTTTATAACATTACACTGGGACTGTACTGTCTGAAGATGCATATCTTCCCACTACTAAGTAACCCTACCTAATTTGCCTATATGGACTTTTTTCCCCTGACCCATTCTGCAGACATGGCTTAAAATACTTGACATGTTTTTTCTCTCTCCCACATATTAAACATTTTTTCTGATAAATTTAACCATTTTGTCATGAAAGGGTTTTGGGGAATGTGAAAATGTTTACACTATCTTGTAAACAATCTGTTGATTTGATAAAGATAGTGCCTTAATATAAATTCTGGATTCCTAGAATCCTAGAGTGAGAGCCAGTTTGGTGTAGTGGCTAAGGCACCAGGCTACAAACAAGGAGATTGTGAGTTCTAATCCCATCTGAGCACAAAACCAGCTGGGTGATCCCAGGCCAGTCATTCCCTCTCAGCCCTAGAAAGCAGGCAATGGCAAACCACTTCTGAAAAACCCTTGCCAAGAAAACTACAGCAAGTGGTCTAAGCAGTCGCCAGGAGTCAACACTGACTTGAAGGCACAAAAACATTAAAAATTAAAAAATCCTAGAAGCTAAGCAGGGTCAGACCTGGCTAGGGTTTTGATGGGAGACTAGCAGGAAGTCCCAGGACTGTAAGGTAGTCTGGGAAGTTGAAAAAGCTTTCTGGAGGTAGGCAGTGACAAACCATTTCTGTATTATTGCAATATAGTAATGCCCATAGTGTATGCATATGTGTGTGTGGCAGGGGGTATGAGTGGTGGTCAAAACACGCAAGAGGGCAGATATGGTGCTGCAATACAAGATCTGCTTCATACATACAAAAAAGGTGGAACTTGCATTGCAATGCCCCATCTGTCATCTTGCCTGTTTTGATGCCCCTGCAGACACCACAGAGTTGCCAAAAAAAACTGCATGGCCATGATTATGAAGTCACCAGGAATCAAACTTGACTAGAGGGAATCTTCCCTCCTTCCCTAACCAATATTGTTGCCTTTGTTTTTCACATCAATATTAGCACACTTGTCTTCTAATTATCAATTTTTTAAATTCAGGCTTCTTAGGGAACTTTATTCAATAGACAAGAGTGGGAATAAGAATGGTAGCAGCAAGATGAGTGTAACTGGCTTGTCTCTCTCCACACAATATTAATCACATGGGATAAGAGACTAAATAGAGCTTATGTCACCACAACATGGATGGTCCTAACCACCTTCAGGAAGATGTTGAAGAATGAGCTGTTCCAGAAGGCATGTGCATTGTGATGACTCTTTGTTTTGTATCATATGTTTTATGGGCTTTTAATCTTATTTGTATTTTTCTATTTTTGTTTTACAGGTAGTCCTCATTCAACAACCACTCATTCAGCAACCAAAGTTACAACAGTGCTGAACAATGGGACTTACAACCATTCCTCATAGTTGCGGCTATCGCAGCATCCCCACAACTGCAATTTGTGTGCTTGGCAACTGGCTTGCAATTATGACAGCTGGAGCATCCCACAGTCATACAATCACCATTTGCGAGCTTCACAGTTGGCTTCCAACAAGCAAAGTAAATGGGGAAGCTGGCAGGAGGTTGCAAATGGCAATCACGTGACTGTGGGATGCTGCAACTGTGCGGAATTTGCCTAATGATGGCAACTGGAACTGCTGCAAATGCTGTCATAAGTTGGCATGGTCACATGACATCACACTTTACAGTCATGTCTCTTAGCAACAGGGTTGCCAGTCCCAATTACTATCATTAAGTGAGGACTACCTGTATTGTACTTGTAAGTACTTGAGGGTCTGTCGGATTGTGGCAGGGTAAAAATATAAAGTTCAGATCCAACATAAGCATGAAAAGTTAGTTGTAATTTATCTTATTGCTGAAAAACAGTGATCATGTAGAACAAGATACAAAAGGAGGATATAGAGAGAGCAAGAGGAAGAGAAAGGCAATCAGACATCCAATCATTTTTAAGGCACAAGAGAGAAAAAACTTTGTGGGGTACCTCTGCCTCGATAGCCATGGCTCCTATCTTCTCATTTCCTAACACTGTGAAAATGCATCCTTGGAACCAGTGAAAAACTACTAAATGGGAAGGAGGGGTATTTCTGTGAATTCACAGTTAATCACGAAAATGATTTCATTTACTAGTAAGTAACCAGTGCTTCTTCACTGTTGTCTCTGTAAACCAGATTTACAGGCAAAGAGCAAGCTAAAATATCTAATGGAGTGGTAGGAATTATGGTAGAACTGACTTCAGTTTGGGCTCCAGTAAATGAGAAAAAGGCACTGATCAGATAGAAACAAGGTCATCTTCTGTGTAACAGGCAACTGTGTCCCTAACATCATGTGCATGTAATCTTTGGTCTAATGCTGATGCAGAATCCTGAAAATAGGTCAAAAGAATGATGCCGTGATTGATGTGAAAAGCACATAGTAATTCTGCCAATAAGTTGTCAGACTGGAGGACTTATTTAAATTTATGGAGGACAAGGAGAAAGGTTAGGCCTCAGTGCAGCCAATTTACTAGAATGCCTACCTAAGATGACTGCAGTAAAGGTGGCCTTCTTCTAGGAGGGCTGGTACAATGGGCTAACAGTTCACAGGGTGTCTGATCAACATAGCCACAATTAACAAGAAGCTTCAGAATAATGGCCAAGGAGAGGGACATTGGTTATGAAAATCTTTTAAAAAATCTCATTATAAGGTAAGAGGAGGCAGTTACACCCTCAACAGTCATACTCACAGCCAACAGTAAAGCTTTCATCAATAAGATTTTTTTTTTTTTTAACCCTGTGAGACAGAAGAAAAAGGAGGCATAATCCTAGCCACAAGCAGTCAGATCCACTATCTTTTTGGGCTGCAAATGCATAGAAATAATATTCATTGGTGCATCTTGTGAAGGATTATCTAGCTTCCACTAGAACATATCAAGAAAAAGGAAGCCTATCACCTCTCTGGGTAACTGCTTACACTGCTTTTACTATTAGGATTTTTTTTCTAACATTCAAATGGAATCTGTCTTCCTGTAACTTAAATCCATTATTCTGTTTCCTGTGCTCTGGAACACAAAAGAACAGAACTTGACCTCCTTCAATGTAACTTTAAGTATTTGAAGAGTGCTACCATATTCCTTATCAGCGTACTGTTGTCAAGGCTAAATATTCCCAATTCTTTCAGTCTCGTTATGGGACTTTACTTGCAGTCCCATGATCAGCCTGTTCTTTGAACCAGACTGTCTGAATCCTTTTTAAAGCGTGATACTCAGAACTGAACACAAACTTGTGGTAGGGATTGACCAAGTGGAATTCCAATTTTCCATGATTTGGAAACTATCTGTTGACCCAGCCTAAAATTGCATTTAGCTTTTTGCTGCCACATTATACTGCTGACTCATATTTAATTTATGATCAGCTACTGTTCCAAGATCTTTTTCACAAATATTATTGGCAAACTTGCATTTGATTTCTGGTTCATAAGTAAAAAACTTTGCATTTGTCTCAATATAACTTCATTGTATTATTTTCAGCCCATTTCTCTGAGCTGTCAGGACAACATTTTAGAGGTCCTAACTTTCTGCCTTCCAAGATATTAGCTATCCTTGCAGTTTACATCAATAGCATATTTGATAAACATTCCCTACATCTCTTCATCCAAATCATTAATAAAAATATTAAGAACTACAGAGCCCAGAACTGAATCTTATGGCACTTAATTCGGTACTTTGATGAGCACACTCTGAATAGGAATTTTGAGCCAGCTTGTATCCATTTGATTATCATATCATACAGCCCACATTTAACTACAGGTAGTCCTCACTTAATTATCCTAATTGGGACTGGAATTTCTGTCACTAAGCAAAGCAGTCATTAGGCAAAACATCATGTGACTACACCGCTTAAAGATGGCAGTTCCCATTGCGGCTGTTAGGTGAGGACCTCACACTTCTCCTGCCTTGCTGTACTCGCCTCCGTTTCAACTCCCACCTGCCTGTCTTCCCCCAATCTCTGCCCTTTTGGCCATCATGCATTCTGCTGCCCCTGCCACCCCCAGCTGATCTTTACCATCTTCTTCCTCCTGCTGCTGATGAGGTACATCCAGCTGAGGCAGCTGCTGGGCCTTCACAAAGCCTCTGCATGGCCAGCAGACAGTCTCATGAAGGGCCAGCAGCTGCCTCGTCTGGGCACGCCTCGTCAGTAGGAGGAGGAAGAAGACAGTCAG